GGCAAAAGGAACTTTGCAGCTGTGGTTAAGTTAAGGCTCTCTTTTATTTTTTAATAGATTTTATTTATTTGTTTTTAGAGAGAGGGGGAGGGAGCAAGAAAGAGATGGAGACATCCATGTGTGGTTGCCTCTTGAGCGCCCCCTCCTGGGGACCTGGCCCACAACCCAGGCAGGTGCCCTGACTGGGAATCGAACCAGCGACCCTTTGGTTTGCCGGCCAGCGCTCAATCCACTGAACCACACCAGACAGGGCAAGGCTATTTTTTAAATTGAAATTTACTGGGGTGACATTGGTTAACAGAAGTATATAGGTGTCAGGTAAACAATTCTATATCATCTATATTTTGTACTGTGTTCACCACCCCAAGTCAAGTCTCCTCCCCTCACCATTATGCCCCCTTTACCCTCTTCTACATCCCTCCAAGATTAAGACTCTTAAGATGGGGAGATTATGCTGGGTTATTCGGGCGGGCCCAGTACAATCACAGGGGCGGGGGTGGCACTGTAAGAGGGAGCCAGGGAGGTCCGAGTCAGAGCAGAAGTGAGAGCAGAAGCCAAAGTCAGAGACTTGAGGATGCTCCGCTGCTGGCCCTGGGGGCGGAGGGAGGGGCCCTGAGCCACGGGATGCAGGCGGCCTCCAGGATCGAAAACAGGTGAGGGAACGCGGCCCTGCCGGTCCATTTAAACCTTGCCCTTCAGGGCTGTAAGACGATAGATTTCTGCAACAACAGGAACCTAATACACCAACACAAAACTCAGGTTTGTTCTTCCAAGGACTGGGGAACAAACCTACTGGCTCAAAAGCCAAATTCGCCCGAAGCAGCCACCATAGGAGGTAAGAGCTGAAAGCAGAGGGAGTGGAGCTGGGGCAGGCCGAGGGCGGCGCAGGCACCCACGCACAGCTCCTCCCACAGACGCGAGGACAACACTGGGAGGCATCCTGCTTCCAGAGCCCCTCCCTCTGACACCCGTGTGAGCACTCGCTAATTCCCTTTTCCAGACCCCTAGTATTGTTTCATATATGTATTTATTTATTTATTTATGTTTTGCTTAAAATGTGATCCATGGATTCACACTAGAGTCCCTCCCAGAGCACTTGGCACTCGCAAGAGAACATGCGCACGGAAGATAATGCACACCCTAGAAGAGCAAATCCCAGCCAAATCTTTCGGGGGGAAGGCCACGTGACGATGAAGGCGGAGACGGGGTGTTGCATCTACAAGCCAAGGAAGCCTAAGGGCTGCTGGCAACCCCCAGAAGCAGGGGGAGAAGCCTGGGACCGATCTTGCAGCCTCAGGAGGAGGGACCTTGCCATCACTTTGCTGGTGGACTTCTGGCCTCCCGACCAGGAGACAGTATTTGTTAAGGCACCTGGTTTGTGGTACTTTGTTACAAGGGCCCGATCCCAGGAAAGGGGTGCACTTGCCTTCAGACAGATGGTGGGCAGGCAGCTGCAGGGAGTGGTGGAGTGGGGTGGCCTCGGGGCTCCAATGCTGAGAGGGATCGGGAGCTAATTACCCTGAAGGGGAGCCAGGACCAGTGCATCTGCGGGGGAGGGCACGCCTGTGTGAAAGGCAGAGCCCGCAGGCAGGTGCGACCTGGGTTCCCAGCCTCGGCTTGGACGCCCACTGTCACAAGGAGGCCACCCGAGGAACAGAGCGAAACTTGCCCACCACACACGCGAGGCGCTGCCTGCTCTCCTGGACCCCCACAGGCGGCAGACCCCAGCACCACGCTGGACGCTGTCCTAGGTGTCCGAGGACATGCGTCTTGAAGAGCTTGCAGAGCTGGACTCCTCCCTTCCCCTGCCTTTGCAGCCCCCCAGACAGAAAGACTGGAGGTCAAGGGAGGCCCTGCAGGTCAGCCAGCTCCGGAGCTGCCACGTCCCAGGGAAGGTCGCTCCAGGGAAGGCAGAAGGGGCAGGAGGCCTCTCCTAATAAAAATCAAGTCATTGCCATCTGGCCGCGTTGGCTCCAAGTTTCCCTGAGAGCTGGGGAGGCTGCCCACAGCAGGGGCTGGGGAGGCAGCTGGGGGAGATGGAAAAGCACTTTCCTTCACCTGTCAGACCAGTATTACCTGCGAGCCAAGCTCTGGGTTGGCGATCAGGTCGGCTCAAACCCGCTGCCAGGCCCCTGGTGAGCCTGGCTGGGCACCTGGCTGGTTGCTTCATTAGGCGGCTGGTTGCTTCATTAGGTGCTGGGGGCAGGATGAAGCCTGGAGAGAGCTTTGGAGACGCTTCCTCTTTCTCAGGAAGACTGAGCAGCGGGGTTAGTGGGGCAGCTCGGTGGAAAACACCCCTGGGCCAGTGGACGACTCCCCAACAGCAGTGAGCAGCCTGGGGGAGGCTCAGCCTCCCAGGCTGGGGGTCAGGCCTCCTGGGTTTGCCTCCCAGCTCTGCTGGCACCTGGCAGGGTGGCTTGGACAAAACCCGTCACCTCTCAGGGTTTCAGTTCCCCCAACTGCCAAAGGGAAAGGCACCTCGCCCTGGGCCTGTCCTGTCTCTGGGGCCGGGGATGCTGCTGATGGGTGAGTTTCCGGAGTTGAGACAGAGTTCTTTACAGAGGGGCTGGGGAGAGGCAGCCTGGGAGGGGGAAGGTGAACGACAAGAACCAGGGGGGCACAGCAAAGACCAGAGGTGAGGGGAGCAGGGGACAGGCGGCAGGGAGGACAGAGGAGCCATTGTCTGGGTCAGAACCGGAGCCAGAGAGCTTCACCTCCCTCCCACTACCCGCGCCCCCCCCCCCCCCCCCCCCCCGCGCCTCCGGGGCTGGGTAAAGAACCCAGCAGGCTGCCCCGCCTCCCCTCCCGCGCTGGGTTTCCAGTCAACCCCAACCCCACCCAGCCCCGGACTCCAGGGGCCCCGGGAGGAAGCCAGGGGCCCCGAGGCAGGCGGAGGCTCTCACCGCGGACTCGGGCACAGCCTCGTCTTCCCTTCCCAGTGCCTCAGTTTCTCATCAGACCCCACAGTTTAAGGCGACGGCTTTTCAGGTCTGATGCGAGTGCCCTCCCGAGCGAGGGAGAATGAAGGGGAGGATGTCCCGGGCGCGTCCGCAGCCACCTCCCTCCAAGGTTGCAGTCTCCGGGAGCACCGTCCCGCGCCCCGCGCCCCCTAGGCGCCGAAGCCTGGACTCCGACCCCTGCTGGAAGGGAGAGGTGGGGAGAGGTAGGAAGGGAACAGGAGGGCGGGGTCGGGCTCCCGGCTCCTGCACGGGGCCCCCGCCTCGCGGGACCGCGGCGCCGCTGCCGCAGCGCGGCCCCCCCTCCCCGAGTCCCGGGGGTTGGGGGTTGGGGGGCCGAGAGCACACAGAGCGGACCTTGAGGACGCGCGCCGCGGCGCTGCTGGAGGCTGATGACGCCTAGATCCTTCCCCCCGTCCTTAGTTTCGGGGTTTCTCGGTCGGTGAGCACGTCGCTGAGTCACCTTCTCGGAATGCGCTCGGGACGCTCAGGACCCAGCCTGGAATGCCCGGGGGCGGCGCAGAGCGGCGACGCGCACCGCCGCGCAGCGCGCCGGGCCCGGGACCGCGCAGCCCCGCCGAGCCCCCGCCTACCTGGACAGCCCCGGGGTCCGCCCTTCAGGTGTAGGGGATCGCGGCCGGGGAGGCGTGCCCGAGGGACCGGCCCTGGCCACACTTTAAGGGGCGACGGCGAGAGCTGTGTAGGGGCCAGGTAGGGGCGGGGGGGACGCGTGAGCCCCGTGTCGCAGCCTGGGCTTGGGCCACGGCCACCTCAGCCCCTACAAGGGTTTGGTTTTTTCTAAATTCGGCCCTACCTGGCCAGGTTTGGGAAACTTCTTCCTTGGGGGTCTCCGCAAACAATCCCCCGGGAATTTAACACGTGTTGGTCGCGGACGTGCGCCCGTGGTTGTCTGTATCACACTCGCTAACATGGCGCGTCCCCGTGTGACTCCGTGAAGTGAAAACTCCCGGGCACTTTCGCATCTCACGGCTGAGCCCACGGCGGGGAGCGGCGGACACGCCCCCGACGCCGGGCTCTCCGACGCCCGGGACCCCTTCACGCTGCCAGGCTGTCCTCGGGGCGGCGGGGGCCGCGGGCCTGGTGGCCAGACGTAGGGGCAGCTTCCTTGGCCCAGAGGAGCCTCGATGGAGTCCGCTGGGGCAAAGGATCCCACTTCTGAGGCGCCTGCCCCGGACTCCCGCCCCAGGCCGGCCTCCCGCTCTCCCCAGGAAGTGGCCCTTCGCTGCCTCGGGCTGGATTGTTGCTGCAGCGTCAAGAAGCTAAAAATAACCGTGTGAGGGAGGACAGGGGCGGTAGGAGAGACTCCCCAGTAAAGGCGGGGGGCTAGGCCTCGGATTCCGGGGCGGGGGGGCTGGGGACTGGGGAAGGGGGAAGGCCCCGGGGAGGGAGGTCTCAGCCTCCAAGGGCAGCCGAGGGTCTGCCGCGAGCAACGAGCCTCGAGCACCCGGCATCGCGTCGCGTGCGGCTCCGGCTTTGGGCGCCGCCGCGAGTTCGCATGGGGCCTGCGCTGCGCGTTCACCTTCACGCGTCCGGATCGCTGCGCTCGCGGCGCGCCGCTCGCGACCGGGCCTGGGCTCCGCGCCTCGCCGACTGCCTTCGCCTCTCCCCAGGCCTGGCCGCGGCGCCACCTTTTTGCCGGCCGCCTTCTCGGAGCAGCGGGGGCGCCTAGTTACGCCCCGGGACCCAGTCGGGGGCCTCCTCGCGGCCGAGCCGGGTGCGGTTCCACCCCCTCCGGCGTGCGGAGCATAGGGCGTGGCCAGACCGAGCGCGGGGACTCGGCGCCTTCTCGCACCGCGGCGAGGGGCGGCCAAGTTGACCAGAAAGTTTGAGGCCCGAGGCAGCGAAGCCAGGGAGTCGGCGCGTGCGGCTCGGGCGCGGGGCTGAGCCCGGGACGAGCTGCGTCCCGCCCCAAGCCACTGTAGGGAAGCGAAGTGGCGCCTCCCCAGCAAACCGGACAGACTGGGTAGGGCCGGCCGGCCGCCCGCCCGCCTTGCCCTCTCTCGGTTCGTGGCTCCCGGGTGGCCCGGAGAACTGAGCCACGCACGCGAGGCCTCCGCGCCCACTCGGCGCTCGGCTGAGGGGGCGGCCGCTGGCGGCTGGGCGTGGGCTCAGCGCGATCCCGGCTACCGGGATGACTCGGGGCTCGGCTCTCTCGCCGCAAACTTCGTGCAAGTTCTGGGATTTTGACGCAACTGGACTCCCCCTGGCAGCCCCTGGGAGGGGTTGAGGGGATGGTCCGACGGAGAGCTAGTTACGGGGCTCCGACTCATCCGTCCGGCCGAGGCTGAGGCCCCAGGAAGACACCCTCCGCCATCCCTGCTCAGTTCCAGGACGGGAGCGCCCTCGGTGTCACCCGGCCCTGGCTTTTTGGACCCCTCCAAACACCAAGTCCTCAAGCTCCGAGCGTCCGGCGATGCCGAAGCACGCTGCTCCCCCCACGCCCGCGGGGCCCGAGGATCTGGCGGGGCGCCCCTCGCCTCGGGGAGCCGCTCCGGCCTCCGGCAACGTTGTCTCCTCTCCCCAAGATCCGGCAGCCGGAGGGGATGACGCGGGTGCCTCCACAGCCCGGGTTCCGGGAGGGGAAGGCGAGCCCCACAGCCGGCACCCCGACGCCCGCCTGGGCAGCACCGATAAGAAGTTGAAGGCAGCAGCCAATGCCGAGGGCAGCGCTCCGACAGCGCTGGGGAACCCGAGGCAGGGGACGCCGCGGGTCCAGGTTATGGATCCAGGTTTGTGGGGGCCGGCTTGGAAGGGCTCTAGGGGGACCCCTCTCTCCCTGGCCAGGATCGGCTGGACGGAAGAGAAGGGCTGGGGATGCTAGGAGACATGCTGTCTCCGACGAGTCCAGAAACGGGGCTGGGCCTGAGTCCAGGATGGGGGTGTCACGGGTGCCCTGCTCCCCGCTGGAGGTCCCTGGGGGAGGCCGCTGCCCCTGGCCGGGTTCTCCCGCATCAGTTACCCAGAGGTTCCAGGCACCAGTTTCCATCTCAGAGCCCCTGGTGTGACCCTGTGCCCCCTGAGGACGCGGCCTTTTCGGGCTTGGTTTTTGCAGCCCGGGGCCCCTGGAGCCAGCTCCCAAGGCCCTGCCTGGTGCTGGTGCTGCTCAACCCACGCGGTGGCAAAGGCAAGGCCCTGCAGCTCTTCCGGAGCCACGTGCAGCCCCTGCTGGCCCAGGCTGACGTCTCCTTCAGGCTTATGCTCACTGGTGAGTGCCTTCGCGGGGCTGTTGGGGGGGAGGTGGTGCAGGGAGCATCGGGCCACGGATCCCCCTCCAGAGCCATCCATCTACCCTCCTCACAGAACGGCGGAACCACGCCCGGGAGCTGGTGCGCGCGGAGGAGCTGGGACGCTGGGACGCGCTGGTGGTCATGTCTGGAGACGGGCTGATGCACGAGGTGAGGCCTGCGCCAGTGGGCTGGGCGTGCGGGGCAGGGCGGGTGCGTTCCCAGGCTGAGGCCCCCGTGCGCCAACAGGTGGTGAACGGCCTCATGGAGCGGCCTGACTGGGAGACCGCCATCCGGAAGCCTCTGTGCAGCCTCCCAGCCGGCTCTGGCAATGCGCTGGCAGCTTCTGTGAATCATTACGCTGGGTGAGAACCCAGGGCCAGGGTGGGCCTCGGTTTCCCCTCAGTGCTGCCTCACTGCCTGGTTTTTACAAATTCCCATTTGCTGAGGGAACTTCCATCCCGTCTTTTCTGGAGCTTCCACCCTCAGTTCTGGGGCCCCTTCTCGGCGATGCCAGTTGGCTGCCTCTCTCCGCTCCATCTCCCTGGGGACCCAGCGTGGTGGCCTTGCCTGGCCACAGGCCCTGGGAGGAGGAAGGGGAGGGTGCATGAAGACATTTGCCCCTGCAGCTACGAGCAGGTGACCAACGAAGACCTCCTGAACAACTGCACACTGCTGCTGTGCCGGAGGCAGCTGGCCCCCATGAACCTGCTGTCGCTGCAGATGGTATCGGGTCTGCGAGTCTTCTCCGTGCTCAGCCTGGCCTGGGGCTTCATCGCCGATGTGGACATCGAAAGCGAGAAGTTCCGGCGTCTCGGGGAAATGCGCTTCACAGTGGGCACCATCCTGCGCCTGGCAGCCCTGCGCATCTACCGCGGCCGGCTGGCCTACCTGCCCGTAGAACAGGGGGTCTCCAAGGCACCCACCTCCCCTCTGGACTGGCAGGACCGGCAGGGCCCTGTGGACGCCCACCTCGTGCCCCTGGAGGAGCCGGTGCCCGCCCACTGGACGGTGGTGCCGGAGCAGGACTTTGTGCTGGTCCTGGTGCTGCTGCACTCACACCTGGGCAGTGAAATGTTTGCCGCCCCCATGAGCCCCCGCGCGGCCGGCGCCATGCACCTGTTCTATGTGCGGGCGGGCGTGTCTCGGGCCATGCTGCTGCGCCTCTTCCTGGCCATGGAGAAGGGCAGGCACATGGAGTTTAACTGTCCTTACTTGGTGTATGTGCCTGTGGTGGCCTTCCGCCTGGAGCCCAAGGACGGGAAGGGGATGTTTGCAGTGGATGGGGAGATGATGGTCAGTGAGGCTGTGCAGGGCCAGGTGCACCCAAACTACTTCTGGATGGTCAGTGGCCGCGGGGAGCCTCCTCCTTCTCTGGAGCCGCAGCGGCTGCCGCCCAGCCAGAAGGCTCAGCAGACGCCACCGCTTCCCTCGTGACTCCTTGGGTCTTGCTGTGCCTTAGTCTGTCTACCTAGGGTACCCCGAGCGCGGGGCCCTCCCCTCTTCCCCTGGGACAGGAGGGCTGGTCCCAGCTCGGCCCCAGCTCCCTTGGGGAGAAGGGGACAGCTCCTGTGGAAGGCTGGATGGAGGCTGTGCTTCGCAAGGAGTAGCTGCTTGGGCCCCACTGTGGTGTGGAAGCCCCACCATTGTTTTGGGAGCTCCACCCAATAATTAAACCTGAATTAAGTGACATTCCCAGCCTCCTGGCCTTATCCTAGGGGCTGAGGTGGGGGCAGTGGGCTTGCTCCAGCCAGGCTCCGGTATTTAATGTCGATGATGCCCAGTGGTGCCTCCTGGGCTGAGCAGTTGTTTTGGTGACGGGCACGGGACCACAGCTGCTTCTGCAGAGGGGAGAGCTCTGCCCTAGAATTACACCCCCTTCAGCCTGGAGGTCTGGGAGCTCAGCCCGTACACGGGCAGCCAGGCTCAGAGCCAGCACGTCTTTCTCACCTGGGACTGCACAGCTGGCCCGCCTCCATGCGAAAAGGAAGATAACCTTAAGGAGGGGCGCCAGGGACACGCAAGGAGCGGCAAGACCCAAAGTGGCAGGCCCAGGTCCATGTGACAAGTCTGGCGCCCCTCCGCCAAGGCCCCTAGCCCTGTCCCGGCCCCGCCCCATCCTTGTGGGCTGCCGGTGGGCAGTTAAAAGACAGCAGCAGGGAGGAGGCAGATACCAATCTTCTAAACTGGGCAAAGATTTTGGCTCACAGCCCAGGCCAGGTGCTGCGATGTCCTCTCCCCCGTGTCTGGAAGGTGGCCAGCCCGGCTAAAACTGGCTCCTGCAGAACAAACAGCCGTGCCCAGAGGCAGCAGCACTGACCCAGCAACACCCGAGGTCCTGACCTCCCAGGCTCTGGGAACCCACAGCTGGGATGGCGGACGGCAGGGCAGCGCGGCAAGCCCGGCGGAGGTGCTGCCGCCCAGAGAAGAAAGGCCACAGAGCCCAGGTGAATGGCAGAGGCAGGTTTAATGGTACCACCTTGTCTTTTTTGTACATTGTAATGAGCCAAACCAAAAAAAAAAAAAAAAAAAAAAATGCAAGTAAAAAAAAGGTTTAATCACACAGCACTTTATACAGATATCGTAAGCAGTAGGCATTCACATCTCCACGCGAACAACGCCCTGGGAAGCACAGCCCCACCAGTCGCTCAGGGTGTTTCTCACACGAGTCCCTCCCCGGGGCTGCCGCCCGCTGGGTGGAAAGTCGCTGCTCGGGGGAGGAGCCAGCTTAAGGCGGACGAGACGCATCATGCTTTGGCTTCTTTTTTTGTTTTTTTCTAGTAAGAGTTAATATCTTTGCTTTTGAAATTTATTTTCTGTCAACCTTAAATATTACATACATACACCAAAAATTACATACCTGCAATGTGCTCACAGCATCCTCTTAACTTGGAGCTTCACATTATCAAAAGCTTAGAAAACTTGTAAACCTCTGGGTCTGTCTCTGCGGAGGAGGAGACCCCGCACCGGCCACTGCCCCCCCCCCGACTGAGCCTGCGCAGTTGGTAAGCTAAGGGCTGACAGGTGGCCTTGGTCTCGGGGGAGAGGGCCGCCTCCCAGCACGAGCACTTGGTAAGGGGAGGAACAGAGGGCATGGGAGAGGCCCCTGCGCTCCCGCCTCCTGGGGCCCTGGGCCCGGCCGCAGCAGGGGGCAGACACTGGCTTCGGGTCATGCACACGGGGCCTCGAGGCCAGGACCACCCACCCATGGCCACAGGGGACAGGAGAGCAAGGCACCTACAGTTGTTTCTTTCCCGGCAGCTCCCTGGTCCTCGCTCCGTGTTGGCATGTGAGGGCCACCGCCCCTTTTGGGTGTCACCCTGAACCCAGCCCGGTCTCTAAGAGAGCAAGTTCGACAGGCCCCTGAGGGCTGTCCTGTGGCAACTGGGCCAGAACAGAGCCAGGGTCAGTGACAGCGGCTGTAACTCCCAGGAAAACGTGCTGATGCTGGGGAGCGAGGGCGGACCTGGGGGCGCCGGCCCGGGGCCCAGGGAGCTACCATGGCACTGAAGAGGACGGGAAGGACGAGGGGAGCTGCGGGAGCGACCCGCACTGCACGCGCGGCACGGCCGCCCGTCCCGCCACTGCTCGCACCGCGCTGGGCCCTGGGGGCACTCCTCAGCCCCGAGAGGAGCCGGCGAGGGGGCAAGTGCTGGGACACGTCGCCTGGGTGACAAGTGGGAAATCAGCAACAGGGTTCAGGTTTGCTTTGCACGGGGGACTTGCCTGTTGAAAGGCTGCTTCGGAATAGAAATGGCAGCATCTCAAGAGACTTCTTGCACGTCAGCATCAAACTCACCTTGGGAAGAAAGGGGCCTGGGGGGCTTGCATCGGGGACAGAGGAGAGAGTGGGAAGAGGGGAGGGTCCAGGGGAAGGGATGAGCAGGCAGCAGCTGGCCTCTCCCACCGCGGTCCTCCGTCCTACAGGGCTGGCGGCTACTTGTCGTCTGTGCACTCAGGCATGCCTGCCTCAACCAGGGCGGCCCGGAACTGCGCCAGAACCCCCCGGACGCTCTTGATGAAACCCTTAGAAAGCGGGAAGAGGGGGAAGCCGATGTCGGGGTAGCCGCTCTTCTCGGGCAAGAAGCTCCGGTAGCTCTTCCTCCGCTTCTTTGGTTTGACACTGGGCGGCGCCGAGGCATCCGGCGCAGCCTCCGAAGTCTGGTCTGTGGGGTCCCTGCTGGCTGTGGCCGGGCCCTGGGCACCACCCTCCGAGTCCGAGCCCTGGGAGGCCTCCCCAGGGGCCAGCCTGCCATCCTCAGGTTCTGCCTGGCCGCCATCCGGGAGCTCGGCCACCGCACAGCCGCTGTCCTTGGAGACCCCGTTGGGCAGCGCCTGAGCCCTCTCCAGCAGGGCGTGGGTTTCCAGCCAGGACTCGATGCGTCTCACCAGCCGCCAGCCGCCGGCACTGAAGTGCTGCCGGATCTCCTGCTCAAAGACCTCGGGGGGCCGCCGCACCAGCTGGGTCATGGACTGTACCACGCGGATCAGCGCCATCTCGTTGTAGCAGCGGCTGTTCTCGTAGCCCTCCTGCAGGCCCCGGTCGCTGTCGAAGCCGGCTTCGTTGTAGTACGGCTCGTTCACCAGGATCAGACCTGTGGGGGAGGCCCGTCAGGGTTGGCCTGGCCTCGACCCCCAGGGCAGAGCCAGGCCCGCAGGCGGGGGCGGGGACGCAGAAGCCTCGGATCACCACCCCGAGCCCCACCCACGGTACCTTGGATGGAGATGAGCACCTGGAGAAGGCTGGACTTGCTCGTCCACCTCTCTGTCCCCTGAAACACACACAGCACGGTCAACTCCGTCCCAGACACCGCCCCGATGGGATGTCACGCGCGTGGCCCAGGTGCTGGCGTGTTGCTCACCTTTCCAATCCAGGTGCCCAGGAGGCTGACGCACACCTTCCCGTTGTCATAGAGGTTGGGGTTCAGACGGCCACTGCACTGGGAGAGGTAGCAGAAGTGGGGGGGCACGGCCGGGTAGATGTTGGGAAGCTGGATGTCAAACAGGTAGAGGCCGTCCTCATAGGGGGTGCGAGTGGGGCCCTTGATCAGGGCGGAGAAGAGGTCCTGGGGAAGGGGAGGCTGTGGTTGGCAGTGGCTTCAACGCGGCATCTGGTCCTGCGCTTTTCCAGGGTGCTGCGGGCGCTGTGGGCGCAAGAGCAGCGCCCGGGACGCACCGCTGCCCGCAACTGAGGAGGTAAGCGTGAGCCTCCCTGTGCAGACCCGGCACCTTCTAGCTCCCGGCACCCAAGGAGCTTTCCAAGCTGGGTTTTACCCTGCTAGGTTTTACCCCCACAAACATCATTATTTTGAAGTTGTATTTTGCAAAGCAGCTGCCCTGAGCCCAGGCCCAAACAGCAGGCAGCAGTGACCACTGGCGAGAAGACTGCCGAACGCTCCAGGACGGCAAGGTTGCTCACACTCCTCGGGGCCTGGAGGGACGAGGGCCCGAGCTCCAGGAGAAACGCTAGGAGAGCACCAAAGGGACTCGGGCCACTAAGCCACCAGGGCAGCTCCCCACGGAGCACCGCCACCAGTGTGGTGCTGGGGCGGGGAAGGTCACCCGCCAGGGCCGGCGAATGGCGCCCGGGAGAACCGGCGAGGGCTGGGATCCTGCGCGCGTTCTCCTGGGGGCCACCCACGGGCCCCCAGTTCCTGCACTGCTTCCCTTTCCCTTTGAGGGAGATTGGGAAAAAAACAGAACAAAGCAAAAAGTACTATTTCCTTTGTCCCTCAGCAGAGCTGAGACAGGTTGGAATTTTCAAAAAGAATTTTACTAAAACCCAAGAAAAACCAAAAGTATTCAGAACCCTGAGCAGCGGCCCACATCTGTTCCCTGCCCTCCCCTGCGGCCTCCAGCGCCGCCGCCACCTGAGCAGCACCCCTCTGTGGGCCCTGCTTTGGCCCCTCACTCCAGGGCGGCGCCGGAGCTGAGGCCTCGGTCAGACCTGGCCGGACCCTCGCTCTGTCCTGCAGGGTGCCCGGCACACAGAGGGGCCCAGCAGGGCCTGTTGAATAAATAAGGCAAAGGTGCCGGCCAGCGTGGCTCAGTTGGTCGGAGCATCATCCCGTAAACCGGGAAGGTTTTGGGTTTAGTCCCATTAGGGATGCGTAACGGAGGCAACCAATCAAGGTTTCTCTCTCTCTCCCTACTCTTCTCTGTGAGGATTTAAAAAATAAAATAAAGGAAGGTGAAAGGGGCCTGCCCACTCCTGGAACAAAAGAGGAAGCGACACGCTGACTGGGGCCGCGCGACTCAAACCCCAGGCCCCAGCCACCGCGACAGCCGCACGGTCGCGGGAGGGGCGCTGTCCTGTAGCTAAAAAGGGATGACCTACGCCCACGTGAACCAGCGTGGGTGGTCTCGAGATTACCCTGCAGAGTAAAGAAAGCAAATTACAGGTGATGTATATAAAATGATATGCTATTTAAATAAAACCACACAAAACAGTATGTCTTTATGATGATGCACGAGAATGTCAAAATTTTAAAAATGTCATCCTTGGGAAGATGCACCCAACTTCCCAGTCAGGCTCCCCGAGGGCGGGGTGAGGGCTAGTCCAAGACAACTTCAGTTTTTTCTGTGATGGTCGAATTTTTCTAAAATAAGACCAGAATTTGGTAATAATTATATAATTTAAAACTAACTTTCAAACAGAAAGAATGAGCCATCTGGTTGAGACACAGGTAACAGACTTGGTCCCTCGCCTGACCGCGCCTGTCCCTGCCCTATCAGAGGTGTGGGTGCCGCTCAGGGGCCGCTCAAGCCGGGAGGTCAGGGCGCCCGCACAGCGCATCTGCGCCAGCCCACGCCAGGCTACTTGCCATTCTGTCCTCAAAAGTCTTGACCATGATGCCATCGGGCAGCGAGGTAGCCAGCAGTGCCATCTCCTTCCGCACCGTGCTGAAGAACTTCTTGGCTTCTGGAGGCTGGAACTCGATTTTCTTGAAAGAGTGATTTGCTAGAGGAGGAAAGAGAATGTTCAGTCCCCGATGGCAAGGCCCCGAGCGCTCCAGGAGGAAGCAGCCGCCACCCTTGGGAAGCTTGGTCCGGAGGCGGCAGCTGCGGGGTGGGCTCCCCCGGCGGGCGAATAAACCAGCATTTGCCCCACCCATCTCTCCTGGCATCAGGACCCGTGCCACCCCAGGGACACGCCCTGTCCCCACCCCGGCCCCGGGGCAGCCGTGGGGCCGGAGGGGGGCAGGCCCGCCCTCGGTCTGCACAGCTAAGGGGCTCACTCACAGGGCGCGGACTCCAGCACGGAGAAGACCTCGCCCCTGGCGCTGGTGAAGGTGACGCCGGGCCTGCCGCCACGCTGCTGGCAGAGCACGGGCGTCTCGCTGGGCCACTCGGCCTTGACAGGCGACTGTGCCTCGGGCCTGTCCTCCTTGCGCTCTGCGTCCGGCATGGCCTCCATCTTCTCCTCCTCTGCGATGGCCACGTTGTCCAGGGTCTTCTTGAGGTTTTCCTGCAGCTTCTTGATGTCATCCAGAAACTTCTTCTCTCGAGTTGGTTTCTCAGGCTCCACTGTGGGGGAGGTGGGGGAGCCCGTCAGAAGCTGCTCCACCGTCATGTTCTTGAGGCTCTCCAGGATCTTGATGGCCTCCTTCAGCTCCCGGAAGCTCTTCGGGGGCCCGTCCTTGCCGGCCTTCTCCATCAGCCCGGCCACCGGGGCAGGCATGGCCACGGCCCCCTGAATGGCGGCCGTGGCGGCCTCTTCACTGATCACCACGCCCTTGTCCTCCTCAGGGGCCGCCGGCTGCTCAGCGGGGGGGACCGGGGGCTCCTCTATCTTGGGGTGCTCGTCCTCCACCAGTCCGTTGTCCGTCTCCCAGCTGTCACTGTCATCCTCCCACTCGTCGGAGGACGCCCCGCTGGTGCTGCCCTCCACTGAGTCGTAGTCCGACTCCTCGATCTCGGACTCGATGTTGTACAGGTGCTGGGGGCAGACGGGCATGGGGGGCTCAGAAGCTGTGCTGGGCTCGGGGGCCCAACCCGCGGGCCAGGGCCCCGGCGGCCACGCTGCGCCCTTCCCCTCTCCTGCTGGGGGCCCTGCGGGCGGCTCCTCCGTGCCAGGCGGAATCCCGTCTCCGGGAGGTGGCTCCGCCCACTCCTCCCCAGTGACATGTTTCTCCCCCGCTGCGTGCCCCCAGTCCGCTTCTGCCTCCCAGCTGCACCTCCAGAAGGCTCAGGCCTGAGGCCCCTGCAGAGCTACACTGGGAGCTGGGAACATGCCAGAGGAGGGGGAGGGAGGGGACCGCTGGCCTGGGTCACCTGTGTTCCCATCCCTGGGGGAGGGGTGAGCATTCTCTTGCCCTGCCCCACATGGGTGCCAGGAGAGGCGAGTTGGGGCCTGAGGGTGGCACCAACGAGGAGCCAAGGAATGGCACTGAGAGCAGCCTGAGGCTCAGAGCCCGCTGGCCGGGGCCGACCCCTTTCCTCCCCGTTCCTGTTCTGTGACTCTACCATCTCCTAGACATGTCGGTGGCTCTACCATCTAAAGGAAATAGCCTACACTTCCTCAGCCGGCAAGCGAGGGATCCAGGCAGAGCCGGGAGGTCTGTGAAAACCTACACACAGGCAACCGGGGAGGCTGTGGGAGGCGAGGCCGCGGAGCGTGGCGGGTACTGCTGCCCTCCCTCTCACGCCTCCCCTCAGGCCCTGCCGCCCCAGAGGACACCCTCCCTGGGGGCTGCGAGGGCCTGTCACCTGCTCCTGGAGTGGTGGGGAGCACAGGGCGTGGCTTGTCTCAGCAGGGCCTTACCTGGGGCAGGATGATGGTCTTCGAGTTGTCAGCCCACACCACCTCCACCTTGCTGCTGACGTCCACGCGGGCCACCTGGCCGACTGATGGCTGCTGGGCGAATGGGGCAGGGTCAAGGCTCCCGCCCTCCAGGAGGGCGAGGGCCAGAGCACGTCCGAGCAGGAACACCAGCAGTGGGTGCAAGGGTGTGGCCATGAAACAGGAGGGGTGTGGGCACCAGACAGAGGCGGTCACAGTGAGACACTGAAACCAGGGATCCTCCTGCTCAAACACCTGCAACGCGCCCTGTCCCAAGATCCCGCAGCTCCCGCAGCTCCCGCCTGGGGAGTGCACCACGCCCGCTAACTCCTCCCTCCCGCGGCATTCTGGTCTCTCTAGGCTGCCTGTCCTTCTCAGGATGGGGTTCCAGCCCCAGGACTTGGCTCCTACTCTTCCTCTGCTGGGTCTGCCCAACCCCAGCCAACACTCCCCATCTGTCCTCCAAGGCCAGCTCTGAGGCCACCTCCCCCAGCCTGTCCCGTGTTCCTGCACCGGCTAACAGCCGTGTCCATGGTGTTCAGGGGAAGGAACACAGCTTCCCTAGTGACTGCAACCAGAGGGGCTCGGGGGCAGCTGCATGAGTGCCGTCTGACCCCAGCAGACAGGCGGGTGTGCCCTTGTGCAGGTGGCCCGGCTGAGTGGCAGCTAAGGATGAGCCAGAGGACTCACAGGGCTGATCTCCTGGAGCCACCTGGTGGCACCACCAAGTACTGCAGCTGCTACACTGGAGTGGGGAAGCACCTATGAGAACTTGACCTTGGGGAAATGGGGCACATACCTCATCCTCCTTGTGAGGAGCTCCGTCCTCAGTGTTGCCAATGCGGATGACGATATCCGTTGTGCGGAACCGGAAGTCAGGGTGGTCTGCAATGTCATAAACGCTCACGTCCTCCTCTTCTCCAATCAGCTAGGGCAGAGGAGGAGTTGCCATGAGCCCAGGGCCCCACACGCAGCCCACCGGAGCCCACCCTGAAGGGAGACGCAGGGCCGCACACCCACCTCCACGTCATCCCCACTCGGCCTCAGCTTGAACCACTTCACCACACAGGTGCGGCCCACGTGGTCCCCAGACTGCACCACGCCGTAGACAGCGGGGTCGGGGCAGCTCTGGGCTGGGGAACCAGAAAGCACACGACTGGCGAAGGGGCCCTGGCGGCGCCACCTGCACCCGCCCGCCCACCCACCCGCCATGTGTCACGCACAACAGGGCACAGGTCCCACGTGTTCACAGGCTAGGTCAGCAGAGCACAGAGAAGACTTCCCAGTCCTCAAGAGCAAGCCACCCTCAAGGGGGAGCCTCCCCCGACCCCGAGGCCTGGCGGCCCCTTTCCCAGGCCCGCCCAGGCCCTGAGCAGGGATGGCTTCCTGGGGCCGGCACTACCTCGCTTGTCCACCACGAAGTCTCCCGGGCAGAACTCGTTGTTGTCCAGATGGTGCACCGGGAAGAGGTCGTTGGAGCGGATGTTGCACTCCACGGAGCCGTCCTGCCACATCACGTCTGCTGAGGTCATCGTGGTCACCACCTCCACTGCCACCCTGTAGGGCGGGAGCAGTGAGCCAGGCCACGCAAAAGGCCTCAGAGGCCTGCTGGAGGCGAGGGCAGGACCCCTGCCCTCCACCCTGCCTGTGAGCTCGGTGGCCCGAGACTCTTAATCCCAGGCAAGGAGGAAGACAGGCCAGTGGAGGCTCGCCTACAGTGTCCATGCCTGCGATCCCTCCTGAGAACAGCCCCATCTGGGAAACCGCAAGGGAGGGGAGTCCCAGAGGCAGACCTGGGGTCAAGGCCACCGTCGCACCCTCTGTCTTGCTCCCATCTCTCTCCTCTCCCCCTGGGCCAACCCCAGGCACCTGCGCGCCTCAGCTGGGCACCCCGAGCCCTGACAGGCTGCAAAGCGTGTGCGTGTGAGCCCCAGTGTGCACGTGCACGTGAGGCCAAGCGGGCGGTCTCAGGCTGGACACTCAGCCAGGCGCAGGGCATCCTCTGGGTGTACCTGTCCCCTGGCTTGAAGTCACGGGTGATTTTATTCTTCTTCCTCTTGTGTTTCCGCTTCAAGTTCTTGATGGACAAGGGGATGCTCTTTTTGCGGCTCGTGCCGCTGCCACTCTGGGAGGAGGTGGTGGAGCTGGCGGAGGAGGTAACCGAGCTGGTGTCGTCCGTGTCGTCAGCAGCCTCATCGTCTGCATCCTGCTCGGCCGAGTGCAGCCTGTCGTCTCCGCCCTCCTTCAGCAGGAAGGGGGGCAGCTGTTCGCCTGTCTCCTGGGCCTCCTCCGGGCCCTCGTCCTGCATCTCCACAGGGCTGGAGGATCCATCGGGGGTCTCCTCAGGGCTGGCGGACCCCGCTGCGCTCTTTGCCTTGGCCCCTCCTTTCTTGCTTGGATCCTCCGCGGAATGGTCCCTGGAGCACTGGGTGTCCGGGGAGCAGGACATGATCCTTACAACCTGCTTCTTCAGCAGGCGCTTTACCTGTAAGGGCGAAGCAGGGGGCAGGGAGCTGCGGCGAGCAGGACCACGTGCGGGCGCGCGACACCCCGGCAGGCCTGACCCCAGGCGGCTTGGTCTGGGGGCGGGTGACAGCCATACACACCTAAGTGGCCTGCAAGGGTCATCAGGGCTGCCCCCCAAGGCCTGACTCTCCTTCCTGGCTGTGCAAGGCCTGCTCCTCAAACGCCCACCAGCCCCAACCCCGAGGACATACCTTCTTGGCCATGGAGCCCTCCCCCTGGGCGCAGTGTTTTTCTGGACATTCACAGGCAATCTTGGCCAGCTCTACCTTGGCCGGGAAGACAAACAGACAGCGCTCCCCCAGCTGCCGCTGAGCATGGTCAAAGCATCCGAGACGCTTCACCCTGGAGGAGGAGAGGAGAGGCGGGGCTGGGCCAGCAGCTCTCGGCGCCCCCCTCCATCTGTGACTGTGGCCCGGGGACACACTCAGCACTCATCACGGAGGTGGCTGAGCGGGTGGCACGTTGGAGCTGCTCACCTGCCTAGGTTTTCCTGGGTGATGACAGAGGGTGGGGGGCTGACACTGTCCGTGCCCCCTGGACAGAAGCTTTTGGTAATCCAAGTGACTTTCAGTTCTACCACCTGCACCTGGGGACAGTGAGGGGACAGGGCCAGGGTCAGCAGGTGCCAACAGCCCTCTCTTTAGCAGCTGCCCACAGCCTGCCTGACCTCCAGGGCAGAATGCAGGTCTTCAATGTCGCACCAGAAACAACACCCCTAGAGCAGGCCCTGCCGCAACTACAGCCCCACCAGGGGTCCCTGTCACCTCCTCCCCGCCCATCAGGGCCCAGTGGGCCTGCTACTCACCGCCCCCCAACCTTGCTCAGCCGGGGTCGGTCAGGCTGGGGGACATCTGCCTACTGATCGCCCCATGACCATGGCCGAGGTACCTCTTATCCTCAAAGCCCTTTCAGGTAAGAGGGCCCAAAGGCCAACGAGTGGGGCTTCGCTCTCAGAGCAGGTAAGAGCTCAGCCTGGGCAGCAGCTCAGCTCCAGGGCCTGGAGGCTGAGGCCCCCCCTCCACCTCCCACCCAGCCCCGTCCCTACCTCTTCCACCACCACCCGGAATTTGCTCTTGGTGCTGAGCACAGGCTTGACTCCCGACAGCCACTGGACGCTGGAGAAGATCTTGGCGGGGCCGATGAGCACCTGGCCCGGGTAGAAGCCATAGGAGTCATCGAAGAAGAGACCCTGGAGGACATGGGGCCAGAGAACAGTCCCTGTAAGCAGTGACTCCTTGGAGGATGGTGTTTCCAAGCCCCCTCAACCCCCGCGCCCCCCGCCAACGTACTGAGTCGCTGACGTGCGGGCAGACGTCGTAGAGCTTGGCACCATCCTCTGTGTTCATGGAGCACCTGAAACAGTGAACACGGGCTTGGTCTCCACTCGGCCCAATGGCCGAGTCTCGAGGGCCCAGGCGTGGTGCTGGTCCGCTTCAAAGGGAGCTATCCGGAGGCGTCAGCATGTCACATGCCCTCAAAGGGCACACTCCTCCTCCATCCACAGCTCCACCTCTGAACTGGTACAAATAACTCTCCTAAAATGAACGAGACCCTAGCCCGGTATCTGAGGGCTCAGCGCCATTGAAACGCCTAAATCAATCAGCTCCCAGCAGATACCCGAAGTTGTACTGCTTCTCTCTCCCCGAAGCAAGATGGGGCAAAAGCCAGAAACTGAGCACGAGAGCCATACTTCAGCGATGAGGAGACCTGCCCAGGGCCAGGCCCCGACTGCCCACGGCACCTGCACAGCCCTCACTGAAGCCTATGACCCAGGCCCAGGGGAAACTCCCCCCTCGCCGCCATCTGGCAGCGGCCCCGCCAAGTGGACGGCTCCTCTGTGGCAAGCGTACCTGGCACCATTGGACAGCTTCAGGATGATCTGGTTCTTCAAGTCGTAGACTTTCCCCAGCCAGCAGTCGTAGGCAATGTAGTCCCCATACATGAAGGGCTGCAGACCAGGGCACAAGGGCGTGAGAGATGGCAGCAGACAGCAGTGTCTGAGGCGCCAGCCCCACTCTGTCCCACTGAGACGCAGAGGAAGGACCTAGACAGCTTATTGCCTGGACTGATTATACTGAACCTAAGTAACTGCTGCGGCAGGCTGCCCCCCAGGTTCGAAGCTGCACCCCAACTCCCCTTCCCAGTGGAGAGAGGAGGCGGCGGGGGGCTGCCTGGTGGTGATGGAGGGCCACATGGGGACCTGTGCCATTCAAGGAGACGGGACTCCTGGGTGGGAGCAGGCTGTGGAGGTCGGTGACGTGGACAAGAAGTCCAGGGGTTTAAGCAAATAATCAAATATACTGAGGATACCCAGGGCCAAGTTTCTCACTAACACACCAGGGGGCGCGGGGAGAGGAAGTGTTTGAGGCATAGGACCGGACCTGGAGGTATCAGGATGAGCTCCTATTTTAATGTATACATTAAAGAACAGGCAGTGACAAATTTAGATGTGTGTCTGTCTACATGCACACACACACACACGTCTGTCTTAGTTCTGTCCTGCAAAGGCCTGGTGCCGTTAGCACACCCGGCACACACCCACATCTTGGCTTTTGAAACTTGGTTGTCTCCTCTGAAAGGAACCAGGAGAACTGAAAGGAACTTGGAGAATCGGCTGATTCCAGGGCTGGATCAGATAAAATACAAGATGGAAACTAAGAAAGAGCCAAGAGAAAAAAAACGATGGAGACGGTCAAAAGGTCACAGGTGCCAGTTTGAAGGGACTCCCACTGGCCACACCTGGGGCCACTGAAGCAACAGAACAAATAGAGGCGGTAATGGAGCACAAGCCGCACAGAACAGGGACGTCCGAATCCACACTGACGTGCAAGGTGGATGAATAAATAAAGCGACGGGCAGAAGGCAAAACCCTCCCACACAGTAGAAGCCAACTCATAAAACCAAGGCGGCAACGGCGGTGTCGTAAAACGGCCATTTAGCAACCATCAGAGTGCTGGCTGGCGGGGGGCCGGGAGGGGGGGCTGCTAACGGAGGCCAAGGCGTGCAGCCTAGGCTTGGATGTGCACGATCCTAAAATGTCTCCCCAGAAAACCGACTTATTTGCCAAGGGGCGCAAGGTGACTTCATGGTGGGGAGATGCGGCAGACACCAACAGGACCAGGGATCACAGTGAACATCGCCACGGAGCCGCCACTGGCTATCATGGGTCAGGGACGAGCTTGGGTAGCATCTCTGGGGCTGCCCCGCCAAGGACGCAGGACCTGAGGCGGCAGCCGCACGCTGAGAGTCGAGCGGTGGACGTGTCAGGATATGGAAGACAAAGAGAGACTGGGGAGCTGGCCCGGAGAAGAGGAGACTAAAGAGCTGGCTGGCCAGCAAATACAAAAGTGTGTCCCCGCATGGAATTCTGGACCGGGATGGGGAAGAGTATTGTCGCGACAATGGAATGGGGCCTGTGGATCTCATGGTAAAGTACCAGCTCCCTGATTTGGGGGAATGGTGGTCATGTGGGAGAATGTTCCTGATTCTGGGAAATACACTTTGTCGTATTCAGGGGCCACAGGGCATCATATCTGCAGCTTGTTCTCAAATGTCTGAGAAAAAAAGGTTTTGAGGGGAAAAAGGCTAAGGAGAGAGGACGAGATGTGGGGGAGGGTGGCCAGGTGACGGGGCAAAGGGAGTGAGGTGTTAACTGTGAGGAAGCTGGGATACGAGAACTTTCCGGGAAGTTTGAACTCATTTAAAAATAAACTACTGAAAAGAAACTTGCATTAAAAAAAAGAAGCGTTAGAGGATGAAAGCAAAGTAGGGAAAGGCCACACCTGCAGCCACCTGGGGGCTGGAGACCGGAGGGGCGTCCCCCTTACTTCCGCCAGGTGTGCCCGCCCCAGGCAGGCAGGCTCGGAAGGGAGGGCTCGGAAGGGAGGGCGCGGAAGCGGGGCCTGTGCTGGGCCTCCGCCCGGGCGGGGCAACACTCACAGTCCCTCGGCCAGGGGACCCAGGGCGAGGGGAAGGGAGCGGCGGGCGGGGCTCACCCAGATGTGCTGCAGGTCCTTGCTGTTGACGGGGTAGATGATGCAGTTGGTGCCGATGAGCTTGACGGCACAGTCGATGCTGACGTCTATCACGGTGCCGCACTGGCTGTCCTGGGGAGGAGGCAGCATCCAGGCCTGAGCAGGCGCCCAGCGCGAGCCCCTGCGGGAGACCCGGCCCAGGCAACCCCCACGCAACCCCCCGCCAGGCCTGGGACACAGGACTCACTGTGGATCGCATGTGCCGGACCACATCCCGGGGCACCACAGAGCGGTCCTCTAGTTTCAGCTGGACAAGAAAACGCCGGTGTGAGAGACTGGCCTCTGGCGCCGCCCAGGGTACACGCTTCTCCCAGCTTCCTGGGAAGGGTGACCCACTGCAGCAAGGCGCACAGGCCCCCGGCGCCGAGCTCGGTTTTCACAGACTTACCCTCTCCCTGCACCCGACCGAGGGGCTCCAGAACGCCAAGCATGAGCCCCCCCAGCAAAAGCAAACACTAGGCTCACGGAGGCCACTCTGACCAGACTGTGGCTAAATGACAGATCACACAAAACAGCATTTAAATTGCAGATGCAAGAGCCTGCTCTACAGAGAGGGAAACATTCTGTTAGGAGTGAAATCCTTTTGCTCCTTCGTGCAAGCACCCGCCTTCCGCCCCCAAGCCGAGGGCCGAGGAGGGTGGGGTGGAGGAGGAGCGTGACGCCGGGTTGTGCGGGTCACCCTGGTCGCCCTGCAGCCGGCTATCACCCGACACCACCCTCTAATCTGGGCTCTCCGTCCTGCCCAGCTGCAGCCTGCTCCTTATCTGCTGTGCTGCGCAGTCCTGTGGGCTGCTGAGCCACTCGGGTGGCTTTGGGAGCCCGGCCAGCTGCTCCGCAGGCACCGGACCCTCCTCCCCCAAGAAGACATCCGGGCCTCAGGAAAGGCACCCCCTGCCCCCGGCACAGGATCCCCCTCCCACAGCCCAGGTGAGACAGGGTCTCTGCCAAGCCTGCCAGTCTGCTCTTGCTGGTTTCCCCCGCCTGGGGCCACTACTCCTCTGTGGTTCTTCACTGAGTCAGGGACAGGCACCTGTGGGTCCTCAAAACGAGCTCTTCCCTCAAACACTCTCTCCAGTCACAAGCCCTGGGGCATGGAAAGGTGGCCCCCAGGCAGGAGACCTGAGACACTGGCTCAAGGTCACTGAAATTTTTTTTTGGGCACTGATGACTGAAACCAACTCCTCTAGAACTAGACTGTGACTTACACAAACAAAAACAAAAATGGGGGAAGTGATGGGCCCCACCATCAATAAGCAGTCAGATTTCCCTACAGGGAACATAAGCCTGTGACCCAGGTGAGACCGAGCCCAGTGCTGAGCACGGGGGTCCTCGAGCCACACACGCACATCTGCCAGCTGTGAAACCTCAGGCCAATTGCTCACGCCCATGGGTACAAAATGAGGTGACAGTAGCCATCTCAGGTGGTGGAGGGGACCCATAAGGCAATGCGAGCGCACGCTAAGTGCTCAGCAAGCGCTGGCTGTGACCGCTCTGCTGGATGCCACTGCCCCGGGGCGTGGGCTCTTCTGAGTCCTGAGCCCTTAGCCCTTGGTTCTGCTCAAAGGCCCCAGGAGGCTGTGAGCGGCCACGTGGCGCTCTGCTAAGAGCGTGGTGGTCCGACGGTGCCACATTTCTAATTCAAAGAACACCCTACCCTGTAACACTCCATCTCAAACCGCTCTCTCATTTCAGACTTCCAAAACCGCGACCGCAGGTCTTTCCAGCGTGTCCCAGGCCCCAGGCCCCAGAAGCTGCAGCCCCAGGAAATTCAACAGGAGAGGCTGCACTGGGCACACTGGGAGGGAAGGTGTGGGCTGCATGGCCGGTTCGGGGTCCCCAAGGGGGACCCAAGCGGGGGCTGCCCATCGTGTCCCTGCCGGTGGTTGTGCTGGTCTCCAGGAGGGCTCCCAGGACAGTGGCACAGGCACAGACCTTCAATCAGTGTGGTCTCTGATGCGACACTGCCCCCCTCCGCCCGGTGTGGGGGAAACAGGACCTCCTGCCCTGAGGCTGAAGCAGCAGCCACGCAGCCCGCGCAAGCCGCCCGGCTCCACTGCCAGGCTTGGGCGCCCTTAGCTTGGGGGGGCCTCTCGGGCCCTGCCAGGGCGTGACTCCACTCTCCGGTGAAGCTGGCCTCCCGGCCCTGCTAACCTTCCAGGACAAGAAGCGACACTTCTCTAGAGCCCTGACGTGGCTGGAAGCAGGGCGGGGGCGGCAGGGAGAATGAAGTGCTGGGCAGCCACTCTCCTGGGGACATTCCCTCCCTTGGGAATCCCAGAAAACGAGGAAAAGGCCTCCGGAAGGGCTCACAGCTCCCCCGCCCGCCCCGCGCCCCCACCCTGGGTGCTGCCTTTCCCCACAGAGACCGCCCGTCACTCAGCAGGCCTCCCCGATGCCCTCCCTTCTGCTCCCTGCTGCCGTCACGGGCACCCCGCACCCCAGGCTGGAAGGGACCGCTGTGCTCCTGACACGGCTCCGGAGTCTTCGCTCCCGGCCGTTTTCTCGGCGCAGTCTGAGTTCCAGCCTGTGCCGCCCCCAGGCTCCACTGGGTCAGCGCGCGTTACCGCCATTCCCATCGTACAGAGAGGCGCGTGGAGACAGGCGGACAACAAGCAACCTGCTCACAGCCCCACAGCCCCCGGGTGGTGGAGCCGGGCCTGGACCCCGGGCCGCCTAGCCCCAGAGTCCCCCGGCCCCGGAGCTGCAGGGAGGGCCAGGAGAGCATGCCTTGGGCAGGCCCACACGGTCTAGTCTCAGACTAGTCTCAGACAGCGGCTGCCTCTCTCCTGGTCGCGAAGGCAGAAATGCTCTGCTCACGTCTGAGGCCTGTCAAAGGCGGCTGCGGTGGCCTGACTGCCGTGCCGCCGGTACCCAAGCACCCGCCTCCGGAGGGCTCAGGTGGGAGAAGCCCTCCTCTCCTCGTCCCACCCATAACACATCAGGTTGGCGTGTGCCCAGGTCACAAGCACCAGATGCCCCAGAGGCTAACACTAGAGGGCGCTGCATCTGCTCTAGGGAAATGCCAGCTTCCAGAGCAAAACTTTGCCAGGAACAGAACCATGTTGTTTTGTTGTTGTTGGTAGGTGCACCCTGAATGTAGTTTTTTAAAAAGTGTTACCAGGATGCTTCTGAGGTGGAACGGATTTTAATAGTCCCCTAAATTTCTGAACCTCTGATGTGAACTAAGCATTTCTTGAGACAGAGCTGTAGCTACCAGAAGTTTCTGAACATAAAAATGAAAAAAGAGCCCTGGCTGGTGTGGCTCAGGGGACTGAGCACTGGCCTGTGAACCAAAGGGTCGCCAGTTCGACTCCCAGTCAGGGCACAGGTCTGGGTTGTGGGCCAGGTACCCGGTGGGGGACATGAGACAAGCAACTTGATCTATGTTTCTTTTCTCCCTTCCTTCCCCTCTCTCATAAACAAATACATAAAATCCTTAAAAAAAAAAAAAAAAAAAAAAAAGGACAAGATAACACCCAAATGCTAACTCACGTGCCTCTGAGTGAGGGGCTTTAGACATGCCCATGCGTGACTTTGGACGCTCGCGATGTGTCTGCGGGCCGGTCCTGCTGGAGCCAAGCACCGAACCCTGCGCCCCACACCTGCTTTCCAGAGAGCGCACTCATCTGAGCGACACTGGCTGGGGCCCAAGGTCCTGCTCTCGCAAAGCTGCCTTCCAGTGCCGTGGGGAGACAGACAGATGGACACAGGCCGGGCAGTGCTAAGCGCCATACAGAAAACAAGGCAATGCTGGCTATGTGTGTGAGAGAGACTGGCCGTGGAAGCGGAGCACGAACGACTCAAAAGGGCCACCCCGAAGAGCACCAGAGAGGGGGCTGTCTCAGCAGAGGCCAGGCAGGCTGCGCAGAGCGAGCGCCAGAGCAGGAGGGGCCGTGGCGAGTGGCTCGGGCCCTGAGCTCCCGCCCTGAGCGAAACAGAGCCCTGCAGGGCTCTGAGCAGAGGGCCGGTGAGGCAGTCACAGTACAGGGCCTACTGAGGGAGAACGTGCCCTGGTGCATGTTTAGCAACATCCCTGGCAGGAGTCCCTTGCCCCAGTGGTGCCAACCAGAGATGTCCTCTGGGGGCAGAAGTGCCCCCGCGTGAGGACCCCTGGGCTGACCGGTCTCCCTCCTCTCTGGCCAGGGTCCTGGCAGTTACATCAAGAGGAAAGACAACTCTTCTCATCAGAAGCTGGTCTGGAGCCAAAACACAAGCAAACACAGACAGACCGAGGACCTCGATGCTTACACACGGACACTGGGGGGTGGAGAACTTCGAACTCTTTCTGACAGGCTTTAAACTGTCATGAAACCGGCCTTCGGCGCAGTGAAGAAACAAAGCATGGCAGCAAAGGGCCCTGGCTGTGGGTGGGAGCTGGGCTCCTCCGCAGCGTCTTCCTAGGCCCGGTTTCCAGCTCCGACTGGACTTGGGGCTATGATGGGTCAGTGCCTCTCGAGGCTGCCAGTGTAAGGACTTTCTCAGAGCAGCTGACTGTGCAGTGCCTGGGCCCGTGACACCCGGCAATCACCAAGCTGCCACCCAAGGACAGGAGAGTTTATCATCAAATCACGAGGGGCCAGGGGGCTTCCCAGGCTCGGGGCACAGGGAGGACAGTTGGAAATGGTGGAGCAGCATGCAAGACAAGTGTCACTGCCCCTAACGAGGAAATCCCGCCAGGCAGGTGCTGCAGAAACCGCCGCCAGAAGCCCCGCTCCGCTGAAGGCCGATGCCGACCAGTCCAAGGACTCTGAGTGTTTGCTATAAATTCAGAATGAGGCAGGAGTCTAAATATACAGGAGTGTGCCGTGGCTTTTAAAAACGTACTCTTAGGTGAGGATATACAATAAAATACCTGAAAACACTGATACACAGTAAATAGGCTGCTGAGCTGCGTGATGGGACAAAAACCCGACTTTGGTTGGCCGGCGGGGAAGGCAGGAAGGGCTGGGCTGCACAGGACTGTCCACACAGACGCAGGTGGGGGGTGGTGACAGGACTCCCCCCAACACCCCTGCTTCAAGGAGAACCAGCCAGGCCTCTGTACTCTCAGCCCCCGGGGCCAGCCCAGCAACCCCCTCTGAGCGCACACCGGCCGCAGACGCAGCACGACCGCGTCGCTGCCTGGAAGCTGCAGCTCGCCAGCTTACTGGAACGGCCTGGAGGCACAGCCGGCCCAAGGGGACAGAGGGGGACTGAGTCCAACTGCTGGCTAAGTGAGGGGAGGACCGAGGAGCTGCTCCTGGCAGC